ACGAACAGTGCAAAAAAGAAAAGATAGGGAGTGAAGATAGTGCTGCCGACTATTTTGGGACAGATTGAGAGAAGATCTGAATACAGTCTCTGTAGGCGGAGACGAAAGTCTGCGCTGTATCCCCACACTGCCATTCTTAGACGCCTCTGTTGCCTGCACTTTTCCCTTCCTTTCCGATTTCCCTTTGATCTTCTCCCTTTCTTTCTTTTTCTATTCTCTTTCATTTTTATTGTTGTTGTTTGAGAAAGGGCCTTACTGATGTAGCTCAGGCTGCCCTGGAACTCACCATGTAGCCCAGGCTGGCCTCAAACTCATGACAAACAGCCCTTCCGCCTCTACTTCCTGAGTGCTGGGAAAATGGACACAGCCACCTTTCCAGGTCTTTCTCAGTTACCTGCCTTGCATTCTCGTGCATTTTTCTAAAATAAACAAAATCTAAAACTTCCCACAAACCAGGTGTTTGGCAAACTTTTTATTGTAAAGTGCTAGGCTTTTACCAGCTAATTTTTTCTGCCGCAATCCCTCAACTTGGCTGTAGAAAGTAGAAACTAATGAGCACAGTTGTGTCCCAGAACTTTATGCACACAAAGATAGGCAGGCACAGGAGCAGGTCTGTGACCTGTGGCTTCTTGATGACCTTCCCTAACTTAGGCGAAGGGGCTGGAGAAAGGGTCACTAGGGCGATTGCTGATGCAAGGCGAGCAAGAGCCCTCAGAACGAAGGTTCTCCTGTCTATTTGCACCTGCTCCTCTTTGAGGTGCCTGCTGTATACTTGGCTGCTCTGCACACCTATCATCCATCAATGCTTTGAGGCCACCAAAGCCTTTCATACAGTCAGTTGCCAGACACGAAAGCACAGGAGAGACGCCAGAGAGTGAAGATGAAGAGGCACCTTTCTGAGGAAGGAGGACACTCAAAGAGGGTCTCACTGACGAGCCTGCTTCAGGGAGTCTGGAGCCATGGTCTAACAGCAAACAAGGTCCCTCCACTGAGATTTAGCAGTTAGGTGACGCTCATGCCAATACTGTTGTTCTTCCAGAAGGCAGAGGACTGATACTCATAGCATTGTTGTCTCCCATTTAAAGGTTTCTGTTTGCTTGTTTGCTTTGAGATGCCCAAATCTTTATGGGGTGATAGGGATCAGGGGACAAAGGAAGAGAGGGCTAGAAGCCAGGTGCACTCTGAAACTCCCATAGGAGGTACTGCGAAGATGGTGTAAGATGCCTAAAGACCAAAGAAGGTCCTGGGCACATTGTTTTTTGTTGTTTATGCTCCCATAAAAAGCAGGACCGTGTTCTGTTCCCTTTCCTGAGATGAGATGAGGCCAAGCAGGGCTGTGGAAGGTTGTGAATAGAAAAGGAAACCCTTTATGCATATCATAGCCGGGCACTGGGAATGTAGAACCAAGAGAATCGTCCTCTGCTGGGGAAGGAGAGTTGCTGTGCCCTCAGAAGATGTCTTGTTGCACAGAGGAGGTTTAGACCAAGGCACACAGCAGAGAGCTCAGGATAGAGGTGCTAGGCCTGCTAGATGAGTACATGGGCAGCTTTGCTTGGGAAGGGAAAGAGAACCTTCAAGGAAAATGATGTCTTTGGAGCTGAGCAGTAGCTCAGATACCCTAGCGTCTGCCCTAGCTTGCTTTCCCACTGCTCCTGTTTTCTTCCACACACACTGGGGGCTGTGGGGGAACTCCCAAACACTCCAGGGCACCTTCCACCATATCTCCACCTCTCAGCTTTTATATTGTTCCTTCTCTGTGGGGACCTCTTACTCGCCCCAACCACTGTCTTCTCTCTACATCCTTTTGGACCGTCAAGCCTCAGCTGCTACCTCCAGGCATCCCTTTTGAGTTCCATTCCAAGTCTTCCCTACCCTGAAGTTGCCTGTCCCTCTGCAAAGAAGACGCAGTAGCTAGCTCACCTGGGCGTAAAGGGATGTTGAAGACAGAGCCACTTCCTAGGTATCTCTTTGACTTTTCCTGACACATGGTGTACTATCCTGGCGGAGCCTGCTGGAAGCATTGCACAAATATTCTGTAAGTTCAGCCTGGGGCAGCCCTCCTCTTTACTAGTGCCCTCTGGGCGATGTTAGAAAGCTGTGTGTGTGGCCTGAGCTTATCTCTATGTGAACGCTGGACATCCACTTCTCCACAAGTCCTGGCCGGTTGTATTTCTGAATCAGCCCCCAAATGAATCAATCCAGTCATTCTTCCACTCCCTCGAGACACCATGAGATCATTCACTAACATTGATTCAGGAAGTAGGTGTTGAGATGTTTTTTTTCTTTCTCTCTTTCTTCTCCTTCCTCCTCTTTCTTCTTTAATAATCTTTAATATGTAGCCCAGGTTGGTCTCAAACTTTTGGCACTTCTGCCTCAGCCTCTCAAGTACTAGGACTGCAGGTATGAACCACTACAATTAGCTTCTGCTTCTTTCATTGTAGCTCCGGCTACACTGGAGCGCAGGGGTTCGTGTGTTGCCTGAAGGAAGCTATTGGAATTTCCCACAACTCACCATCCTTACACGTCAGTCTCGGCGGTTAACTCACACCAGCTCCCATATGGCCTTGGTTAAAAAGCACGTATTAAATGAACTTAATGATATGTACATGTGTATACTAAGCTGTACTGGTTTTACTGGTGCATATTAACTCAGGAACAAACATATTGCCTGTGCCCTTAGTCAAGTCGCATGCCCTCTCTCCATCCCTGACAAAATCTTTCTTTTTGGCTGTTGAAAAGGATTCCCACGTAGCCCAGGCTGTCCTCAAGCTCATTTTGTGGCCAAGAATGACTTTAAACTCCTGATCTCCGGCCTTTGTCTCCCAAGTGCTGAGCTTGTCTCAGCCATGGCCAGCATTATTAGTCTCTAGCCTCGTAAAAACACAGTGGTTTCTACCTGGTGGAAGGAGAGAAGCAACCTCAGTAAGCTGTCTTCCGACCTCCATGCGTGTGCCCTGTATGCACTGCATGCTAAGCAACACTAACACTAAAAAGAAAAAAGACGGCATCTAGACGAACCAAGTTCTGGGCAGGGATCTGGAATTTCCTTCCCTGGGTATTGATGCCCTTAGTGACGTGGGTCTGGAAATCAGCACAGCTTCTAACAAAATGAAGGAATATCTTTTTTGTTCTTAATATTTTATTTATTTATGTTTTATGTACATTGGTGCTTTGCCTGCATACATCTGTGTGAGGGTGTCTAAACTGGAATTACAGACAGCTGTGAACTGCTATGTGGGTGCTGGGAATTGAACCTGGGTCCTTTGGAAGAGCAGCCAGTGCTCCTAACTGCTGAGCCATAATCTCTCCAGCCCCAGGAATTTCTTTACTAAGAGGAAAAAAACCAAACCAAGCCAAACAACAACAAAAAGCCTCAAGAGGAGTGTTGGAGCACGGTAGGTGTTAATCACAGCATTCGGATGGCTGAGTGAAGCTGACTGCTGGAAATCTGGGGTGGATTTGGACCACCACCTAGCAAGACCTTGTCTCAAAAACAAAAACAAAACAACAACATATACACAGAGAAAGAAACAAAGCAAACATCCAAGAATATTCTGCTATTTATCAGGGCAAAGATTCTAGATATGTACTATACTGTCAAATAAAGTAGCCACTATATAAAAGTAAAGGGCCAGCGTCAGTTTTAGAGCAAATCTGAGGTTGTGACACCCTGTCTCAAAACAAAACAAATACACACAAGATAAACACACACACACACACACAAACACAGAGTCATAATAAAACTCATTATACAATTAATATATACTGATAACATTTAAAGTGATTCTAAGTTTTTTTGGGGCTTAGTTGTTGTTTTTCATGACAGGGTTTCTCTGTGTAGTCCTGACTGTTCTGGAACTTGCTCTGTAGACGGGGCTGGCCTGGAACTCACAGAGATCTTCCTGCCTCTGCCTCTGGGATTAAAGGGGTCCACCATCACCATCACCACCACCACCACCACCACCCAGCTTAAACTAAATTTAAAAACCAGTTCCTCTACTCTAGCCAGATTTCAAGTGCTCGATGGCTTCGTGTGTCTGGTGGCTACCATCTTGGGTGACACACATATAGAACCATTTCCTTTTTTACCCAGAAAATTCCACACGACCGCTCTGTTCTGGTTCACCCTTTTGCAACTGAGGAGACTGAGGCCCGGAGAAGGAACATGACTGCTGCGTGCCTGTTACAGGCAGACATGGAGCCAGATACACGCTCCTGATGTATCCCCCCAGTCTCTCCTTCCTCCTGGGACTCCCAGCTCAAAGACCCTAACCGGTGCCAGCAGGCCAGCCTGGACAGGGGTAATGGTGGACTGAACAGGGCTTCAGACGCTGCGCATTCCTGATCGGGTCAGGCTTGCCCTGCGGCGCTCGGAATTAGTTCTCCTGAACAGCCCCACCTCTTCTGGAGTTGCCAGCTTCCTGCCCAGCCCAGGGGGCGCGAATAATTCTCCAGGCTCCCGCACCGCTCCGGGTGAGGCTAGAACGCGGGGAGAATTCCCGGCCGGAGAAGTGCTTCTGCTCAGAGCGGGTGCTTCGGATGGGCAGGAAACTGATTGGGTGCATCGCTCAGAGGTCTCCAAGTCCAGCACCGGGGGCGTCTGGGAACAGGGCCAGCCCAGCCGCAAGTTACATTTGGCGGGAATCGCATTCGCCTTCACCTGCAGTGGTGTGTGCGTGCCTGTGTCTGTGTGCGTTGGGGGGGTGACGGGTGGAAAAGAGCTGGGAGAGGGGCATCCTGGAGTGGAGCAGAACGGGAGGCGGGAGGCCAGGGGAGGGGGCGCCGGGAGCGCCCTGACCTCGAGGGCTGTGGAGAGGCGGAGAGGATGGGAGTTGGGGGGAGGAGAGGGGAGCCTGGCGGCCAATGGGAGGGAGGATCTCGTTTCAAAAGGGTTAACGCGCAGCCAATGGGAGCCTGGGGGAGCGGATCCTGCTCACTCCATTCAAGAATCCCAAGTATTCAAGATGGACGGCAGGGAGTGTGGAAGGAGAAAGGGGGCGCGGGGGCAAGAGCCGCATTGTAGAGCAGCGGAGCGCCGCGGCCGGCCCATCCCGGAGCCTCGGTCCCGGCCGGCGGGTGGAGGGACGGCCGGCGGGGCCTCGAGCCCGCCGGGGTTCGAGAGGGCGTGCGCAGGGGATGAGGCCGGGAAGGGGAGCCGAAAGGGAGGGAAAGGCAGAGAAAGAGCCCGGGAAGAAGGAGGTGGCGGGCCGAGGAGCCTAAGAAGAGCGCTGTGTAGGTATCGGGAGCTCGGGGCCTTTCGGTTTCCTTCTCTTGGTGAGGGGAGGGGGGGCTCCGGCCTTTTCCTCCCCTCTGCTCCCCCACCCCCATTCTCCACTCGTAGGCATCTTCTCTGTTTTTCCTTTCGAAATACTATCTGGGGAGCACCAGGCGTGTCTTTCTGAGGTGGCCTCACTGTCATTTTCCCAATGGGGGGCGTGGTGGGGATGGGTGGGGGGCTCAGAGGCTGAGCCCTCCGCCAGCCCCTGGGCTCGGGAGGGTGTGTTCGGTGAGCCGCTGGAGCATTGCAGGGATTCGTCACCTCCACAACTTGTGCGGCGAGCCCCACTTGCTGCAGGGGTGTGAGGCTGGCGCCAGCTAGTAGCGGTGGGCTTGCGAGGACGTGGGGAGCCGTGCCTCCACCCTCCAGTTGGGGCGAGTGTCGACCGAGGGGTGAGTTGTGCAGCAAGTATGACTGAGTTTGTGCGTGTGCGTGCGAGCGCGTGTGGTCCAGCCTCGAGGTGTGGCGGGGACACAGTTGGGTGTCGAGGGAAAGCGCCCCTCACCCCACACTTCCCAGCTGCCCCTCTCATCCCATTCACAGAACAGGGCTTTCAGGACCCTCCTGCTCTCCTCCTCCCGTCGCCATGGTTGCGGGAGGAGGTGGGGAGATTGCAAAAGGAGACAGTTGGAGCCAGCCCCTTGCCCCTGCTGCTCCAGCTAACCCCCCACCTGCCCTTTCTCTCCTTTCCACAGGCTGGGCCCCATTCCTGCTGCTCTGGCGGGCAGGGGCCGGAAGATGGTGGCCAATGAGGAGGGGGAGCGGAGAGAACTTGAGCCAGGCCTCCCCTCCCCCATTTCCTCCTCTGTTTCTACACCCTCTTCTGGAAGGAGCTGGGGGATGGCTCCTAGGCCCAAGGTGGGGGAGGGGTCCTGCTGGCTGTTGAATTGCTGGTCTCCCCTCACAGGAATGAGTTGGGCGCCTGAGCTCCGAGGGACTACTTCTCCCTTCGCTCCCTAAGGAAAGATCTGGGGTCTCCTTGATGAAGAATCTTCTTTGGCTACCGTGAAGCTCCCTCAGTAGTCTTGTCTTTGTCCCTCTGCCCCATGTTGGCCAGGTCCTGTTTCCAACTGGCTTGCCCAACTCCAAGAGCATAGAGGCCTGGCGACTGACCCAAGCCAGGCCTTGGTTTCTGTCCATTAGAACTGTGCAAACTGTGGGGCAGGCCCCAACGTTAGCAGATTACAAGAACAAACTCTGCCTGGGAAGGCGGGAAAGACACTCTCCTGCTTCCTGAGGGGGTGGGAGGAGGCAAACCCAGAGGAAGAGCTCCCAGATAGAATTCAGTCCTCCATTTTTCCTGCTTGTTGCAATGGGGGCTGGGGGAGGCCTCCCCGAAGCTACTCAATGGTCTGAATGAATCTCCACAGGGAGGAGTTGCTCCTCAGCTTCCGTCCCCTGGGTCAGCGCTGTGCCTGGTTTCTTTCTGGTCAGTAGCTCTGAATGGTGTGTGACTCTAGAATGCTGCCGGGCTTTAAGTTTTTCTCAGTCTCCATTGTCCTGAAGATGAGGGTAATGGACTGGGGTCATGGAAATGAGTGTGAAGACTCCACAGCTAAACTCAGGCGGTGGACAGAAAACCACCCCACTATCAGCGAAAGCTTACCCTATGTGAGCTAAATCACCGGCCATTTTGCATAATACCACATCCATAGAAGACTCTGAAGACATCAAAAGGAAAGAGTGGGGCTTTAGTTGCTTGCACCTCCAGGTCTGGGAGCTTCTCCCTCCTGCCTGAGCTCTTGTAGTTATTTGCCATTACTCTGGCCATGGATATCCATCCAGCGCCTGAGATCGTCATCTTGAGACCTCCAAGGTTTCCATGCAAACATAGCTGTAGACTGGACATGAGTGAGCAGAAGGTTCTCTCTGGCCTGCAACCTGATGCTGTTGTCACCTGGACTTTTTATTTTACTTTTAACAGTTATTTCCTTTTGAGGAAGAAGTGCCAAATGCTGGGAACCCATCAGGCTGCCTCCTTTGGCCCTGCACCACAACCCTTCAAGGGAAAAGGGATCTTTGCTGGGAAGGAAGTGAGGAAAAGAGCCAGGCTTCGAGCTGAGTGGGCCGGGGACTGGGAGAAAGGGTGAGGAGGCAAAGCCGGCGTGCTGCTGCTGCTGGCCGGAGCTCTTTTCACATTGTGCTACTGTCTTCACCTGTAACGAGCAGTGCAATGTTAAAAGGGCATCGGCCTTGTGGTGCTACCCAGTGCCGGCAGCCTCCTCGGCTCTGCTGCTTTCTCTCCCATCTGGCACCAGTCAGCTACCCCGGTGGGAGTCTGGGTTTGTGGAGCCACTTGAGAGATGAAAAGGCTGTTTGGTTAAGGCTGTAGAGCTTCTAAGTGAGAATTTTCTGTCCTAAGCCCATCAGAAAGGCACCCGTATTTTTCTAGACCTGTCTGGAGGAGAGGTTTGAACTGCTGGGTGAGTGGCTTTGATGCCACCTGCTGGTTATTTGAGGGTATCATCTGGAGGCTTCAGCTTAAGGCAAAACCCAGGGGCAGTATGAAGCTTGGGGATTGTGGGTTTGTGTGAAGTGTGGGAGAGATGTGGGGCCCGCAGAAGACCTATGGGAATACGGAGGTGCGCAGGAAAGGGGCAGGGCTAACAGCAGAGGACGGTTGCTAGGCCTCAGTATCCCTCGTATCCTCTAATGCTCCTTCCTGCCTCTAGGATATGTGGGAAAGAGGGCTCCACTCAGTTTGCAGCGTGACCCCTCCTGGCCACATCACTTAATTGTGATGGTTCTTGAAGGCAAACCTGCCTGGTCGCCTAGGATTTGGATAGTGCTGCCCACGTTCTTCTAAAGGATTGATCTGTTAAGCCAGGCCCCGAGTCTCATCACGTTACACAAGCATGCCATTGGCTTTTCTGTCTTTCGCAGGGCTCGCCTTGAGCAGTTTTGAGCGTGCTCTGGTGAAGTAAGCATGGGGCCAAGGGATGGAATCGGATCCCTACTAGAGTTTAAGGAAAGATGGTGCTGGTATCAACGCAGCTAAACAGTCACATCCTTCTCTGGCCCCGGTGCTCAGTGTTTCTGGCTTGTGTCTCCATGCTGACGTTGAGCATTTGAGAAAGTACAGGTAGCTCTAAATACTCAGTCAAAGTTACCCGAGCCTCCCTGGGTACAGTGGTGCGCACCTATAATCCCAGCACTCCACTCAAGAGGCGGGTAGAACTGAGTTTGAGACTAGCATGCTCTATCTGTATAGGAAGTTCCAGGGAAGCCAGAGCTGCATAGTGGAAACATGGCACCCCATCCCAGAGAAAAGCTTCATGTCTGGCACAAAACAGCCATTTCCCTTTTTTTTTTTTTTTTTTTTTTTAGGTTTTAGGATGGGGTTGTGGCTCAGTCAATAGAGTGCTCGAATAGCATGCAAAAAGCCCTGAACTTGATCCCTAACGCCACAAAAGCCAGATTTGGCAGAGCATGCTTGGAAGGTGGAGGCAGGAAGATTACAAGTTCAAAGTCATATAGCAGGTTAGAGGGCCAGCCCAGGCTATGTTTCAGAGCGACAGTGGTTTATCCGTGCCTTCCCAGGGTCCTCGTGATGAAATCACGGTCCTCTAAGGTTCACAGTGCTTCCCGTCTCCCACTTTAATCTTCTGTGTCTTTTCCTCCTGCATTTCTGTTTCAGCCACGGAAAAAGTTGTCTCCAGTTAGCCCAGCCTGTGCCACAGCACACGGTTCTGTCTGAATCTCTCCCAGATCTTTACTCCTCAAATCTAGGAAGCCAGTCTGAACTAGGGCCCTCATTGTCTTCTGTTGGGGTTGCCTAGCCTCTTCTGGCCACTAGACTGAGCTCCAAGAAGCCCGGCCATGGCTGGCTTGCTCACTGCGCATCCCTGGAGTTCAGCACAGTGCCTGCAAATGACACGTACTGACATTTGCGATGCCCATGGGTCGATCTAGAAATAAGAGTAACTTATGACGGGTCGTTTTACCACAAGTCTAGTCTTCCCCTCCAGATGGAGATTTCCCGTCAGTGCACCGCACTCGTGTTCGTTACGTCATACTTTCGTGTTGGCGCTATAGTTGGAGCTATGTCCCGCTTTAGGTCAGCTGCCAGCAGCATCTCAGCCCGGGGATTTCATTTTAGCCTCACGGCTATCCATGGGTTGATTTTTAATCTCTGATAAGCTTGCACTCTCACCGGGAGAGGTCGAGGGGCCAGGAAACGTTAGATGCGCCTCTTGGACAGGCTCATAAAAACCCACACCTCGTGGTTCACCTAGATGTTTACCGCCTGGGAAGCCGGTGGAGGAGCTTGCCGCGGTGAGGCAAGTGCTGCCTCCTACTGGTCCAAAGAAGGCAGTGCAGGGTCCATACCCAAGGAAGGAAAGCCAGAACAGCACCTCACAGTTCCTTCTGCCCTTTTTATTAAAAATAGACCCAAACACTTTATGTATCATACAAAAGTTTCATTCGCTGGTGGCAGTCCCAGGAAAGACTGGTCCCGCAGCGCTGCCGATCCACCTCCAGGGAACCGGGTCCCAGGGAGCAGCGGCTGGGCCTTGGGGAACGCCCATAAGACTGCTCTCTGGCAACAGCCAGCTGGGGGCGGGTGCTGTTCTTGGAGCAGCTTTCCCCACCCCACCCAATGGCAAAGATTAGATACTTGAAAGTGCCTCTTTAGTGCCAAGGTAAACAGTGGAGTGAAATGGAAACCCCTGTAATGATTTCCCAGGGTCTAGGGTTTGTGGTCTTTCTTGTATTGGCCCCATCCCTAGTCCTTAACGGAGAATGGGGGTGGACAAACTGCCCTCTGACTCTGGGGCCCTGATAGCTGAGGCCAAAATTTCACTCCGGCGGAAGTCTTTGCTGCCCTGTGGTCCAGCACCACCACCAATGTCCTGCTCATTCAAAAAAGGCCGATCAAATCTGGTAATTCGTAGTCCTATCTCATTCAAAAAAGGCCGATCAAATCTGGTAATTCGTAGTCCTGTCTGCCTGAGTTCACGCCCTGCCATCACTTTCAGTGCCACAACCATCCCCCGACACCCTGTTCTGTATTTCCCTGGCTGCTACCCACTCCTGAGCCTTAACCACCCCTGGGGTGTCCCAGGCTCCTGCTCCAAAGGGTCCTGGTACGCTGTGACGGGGGAAGGGTGGTCACTCGGAGCCAGCTTTCCCCAGGGGTGGGCAGTACTCATGCTGGTGTGGACTGCGTGGCAGGGTCAGGGGACTGGTGAGGGGTGGGGCATGCGGAGGAGGGTCACAGCCCGCTGAGGCCCTCAGTCCCAGCCGTTGTCTTTCACCATGTGTGACATCTCAATGATGTATTTCCCTTCTTTGTATTTCTGGCTGGTCTCAAAAGCTTGTTCCTGGGGGCGGAGGGGGAGGAGTAGAGTAGTGACCGTGGGAAGTGTCTCCCCTCGGGACCCCCTCTGCGGGCCGAGCAAAGGCCTGGCGTGTGGGCGCTGGGGTTGGAGGGCCATGGGGACTCACATATTTCCAGCCCAGTGTGGTCTTGCAGCTTTCACAGAAAATGTCGGCTACCGAGTGGAGTCCTGTGAGCAGGAGGCGCTGTTCAGCTGGCCCACAACCCACGTTGACCCTGTCTCAGGAAACAAGGACCCAGCACACAGTAGAGTTGCCCTGTCAGTCCAGCCCCCAACCAACCCGAAAGGATGTCTGCCTGGGGAACACCAGAAGCCGCTGCCGGCAGCACTCCACCCCGTTAGGATAGGTGCTTGGGCCGTCTTACGCCCACAAAGCTAGACCGCTTTTCTGAACCCCTTTGTAAGAAGTACCGGGTCCTTTTGGAGGCTCACCCCCATTCTGCAATGAGGAAAGCTGTTGGAACACAAGCGCATACACACAAAGAAACAGGTAGACTCACACGGAGTTAAACAGGTAGGCCCGGCCATGGCTCCCTTGGAAGGACTGTGGAGACAGGATAGACAGTGGGTACCACCGGGTAGCCCTTAGCCCCACTGCCTGCGTCCCAGCGGGCCTGGAGTAAAAGACTGGGGGAGTGGCGGGCCCTCCCTCCAGCGTTACCTTGGAAATAAGCTCGTCGTGTTTGGCCAAGTGTGCCCGACAGTGGACGCAACTGTAAGTGCGGTGGCAGCGCGGCAGATAGCTGCGGAAAGTCTTGGCGGGTAGACAGGCAGGGGCCGGGCCGGGGTCACAGCTGGGCATGACGGGCTGGAGGACGATGCCCTGGCGGGCCGGCGGGGCTGGAGCCGTGCAGCCCCCGCAGAGACGGTCGCAGGTAAAGCAGCGGAGCAGATTGGCTAGAGCCGTGTTTCGGGACAGTGGGAGTGTGGGGGGGCTGCCCGGCCAGGGCCCCCCCAGACGAGAACCAGATGGAAATGGAAGTCACCTGGTAAGAGAAGAGGGTGCGTCAGGGGAGGCGTGACTTCGCGAGGCTCCTGAGCGGCGAGAGATGGAGCTCG